CAGAGCCTGGTTAGTTCGACTTACAATTTAGAGGATTTGCCATTTGTTTTCAATTTTCCTTTTCTCATCTCTATGGTCCCCAGGAATCGCATCATCTAAAGTCCATCAAATGGCGTTCTCTTCGTCCAAAACAACATCTTCCGTGACGTCTATGTTCACAGTTAATTTGTCAGCTTGAATGTCGAAGTCATCACCATTTCTCCTCTTTGAAAATATCAGTGGAGGTTGACAAATACCTTGCTATGACGGCGTTTGTAACTTTTCTGCATTTGTAGGTTGCTGACACTTACGATTAAGTGTGCCACCTACCACTTTTTCTCCACATATGCGGTATTTCTTCAAATGTGTCTGATGGTTTATGTAAGAAACACATCAACCTTCAGACAGATTTGAATAGCCACATACCACTCACTACTAACCTAATACAGGTCCAAATATCTCCATTTGGTCGCCACACGTTACTCAATGAGCCTTCTCCATCCTTCCGCCCGTGGTGTACAACCTCATATATATAAAACACTATATTCCATCACCATCTCGCGTGTTTTACTATCCAGGATCTTGTAGTTAACTTTTCGAACACCTGAGTATTACTATATGGTAGTGGGGTCATACCATTCCACCTTTCTTATTTTTACTATGGACAAGAGTTTGCCACAAGATAGATAGGATGGTATGGTCACATCACGAGATCAAATGGTCTCACTTGCAAAAACTATCATTAAGCCACTGTAATAGGCTGAACGGGACGAGACAGACAAAAGACACGTTGGGAAGACAACATAAGGGACTGGACGAAGCCACTCCTCGCCAGTACACTAATTATAACAGAAGAGAGAAGTAGATGGAGTGAATGAATATCTTACCGAACGCTGAGTTTAGATTTTAGAATTTCAATCTAGCTAAATAGGTATCAACGATGGTCTCCATTTTCCTATCCACAACATCACCCAGTTCCAGAATGCCCAAATACTTGCAGCTTGATTCGTCAGCTGTCGGTAAAAGTCCCTCCCGCGGATAACTTACTTCGTTTAGTTTTCAGGCGTTTCCCTCTGTTCATGCACACTTTCCTACCCCGAACTCCGTACCAATGTCCCTGCAACACGGAGACGCTGTTTGTACAAGTTTCAGATCATCCGTGAAAAGAAAACGGTTTAAATCTGGGCTTTCTTTCCTAGGCTGTATCCAAGGCCAGATTTTCGCAACACCATTGATAAAGGTCTGAGATTCTTTACAAAGAGTAGTGTGGAAAAAAATTTACTACCACTACTGTTGCTGCTGCTCCAGTTACATCATTGCGGAAAGGGGGGGGGGCTAGAGAGAATCTAGTGTCTCATATTATTACCAAGCTTTTCTCTTGTTACATACATTGTGAAGAAAGGAATGTAAGGAATGTAGGGAGAGAGAAAGGAAGCAAAGAAGAAAGAAAGACAAGGAAGGAAGGGGAAAGGAAAGAAAGAGAAAGAAGAAAAAACATGAAATGGAGGACTGGTGAAAGGAAGGAAGAAAGACGAAAATAAGGGTCATTTTAAAAGAAACTACAGGTCTCTGTATTTTTTTTTTTTTTTTAATTAGCTAGTGTAAGTGATAGAAGAAAAGAGACAGAAAGGAGGATTAGGGCGAATGAAGATTTAAAAAATGAGAATTAAAGAGAAGAAGGAGCAAAGACCGTACGAAGAATATGTGCAGGTATGTGCAATGTAATTAAAGAAAAAAAAGAGAAGGGAAACAGGAAATTAATAAGTATTATTAATGACAGAAAGCATAAAGCGAAGTTTGGTGTTATTTCAAGGTGCTACGAACACTAATAGTACATTTGAACCATAGTATATTTTTTAACAAAATAAATGCAAATAATTCAATATTTCAACATCTTTGTTCAAGAAAAGCGAGGAATGATGATGTTAACAGTATTTTCAGAATACAATTTTTTTTCCCTCCTTCATAGTGACTTTGATATAGGAAACTTTGTGTCGAATGTATATAAACTCATATAATTTTCATAAGTCTTATCTTTCGGAATCTAAATTTATAACTACAGAACCTCCGCAAAGACATTTTAAATGTTCTAAATGTTAGGGCATGGCGACTGGAAATATTAACGATAATCAGAGAGAATAAGTTAAATTTTAGAACGCTGTTTTTTATATATAGTTATTTTTTCATATTTTATATTCACGGATCCAAGATCTAACTCTCTGTATGTACTTATACGTAACCACGGTTTTACTTGTTACATGATAGTTTCGTCTGTTGTTCTGCAAACATTGTATTGTTATAAATGGATCATATTTAATTTGTTACACTGTACGAAGGTGGATCGGCATTAATTAGAACTTGAGGCTGAGGCAAAGAACTTGATGAATCACACACGCACACACACACACACACACACACACACACACACACACACACACACACACACACACACACACACACACACACACACACACACACACACGCACACACACACACACACACACACACACACCACATACACACACACACACACGCACGCACGCACGCACACAATTGTATATAAGAATAAAATCTCAGATCACCGAATAGTGGCCTGAGCCTAATGGAAACCAATGATTGGCCTTCATCTCGACCTTGGCCTGCCTTGTGTCGGCTGCCATTGATGAATTGACTTGTAAACCGCATGTAAGCAAACACACTCGCTCTCAAGATTAAATAAATCTAGCGCTTAGGAAAATGACACTTAAAAGCTGTTTTAAGGAGACCCTGTAAAAACTGATTTAAACTTTTAGGGCATTACTTTAGTCTTTTCAAAATTGGTGGAGGTTGGGGAGTTGTAATATGAACAGGATGGAAATTCAGATTCGACTGCTTGCATTTGATGCCAAAACAAATTTGCGTTTCACCATGTCTCTACAGGATATGCTTTACTGGAAAAAAAAACGCCGTTTCTCTACAGGATAGGCTTCGATAAAGAAAAAAAAAGTAAATTTCGCCATGTGAAAAGCGTCTGCAACTGCAACATCGTAGCATGGGTTTGTATTAGGTCCAAGTTTTTTTTCCGTACGGATTAAATTTTTTTACACGTTCTACGTATACAGTGATATAATACACTACATTATAAAGATGAACTGAACAAAACACATGTTTTATGCTATCATTTCAAGATCCCACGAACAGAAGAAAAGTATCACGAAGGATTTTTAATAACACAACAGCCAATCGCACACACCGCTGAGGAAAAAACGGAACGAATAAATACGCCAACATAAAATAAAGTCAAAAGAAACCCCAGCAAGCATGAAATGGCGCATAACTTTCTTGCTCGTTCATACCACCCATCCGGTCACGATGTCATATGGGTGAGTTACAGGATTCTCTAACAAGGTCATTTGAAGTCATTTCCTCAATGACTTTAAATATTCAGAGGATGAATGTTACACAGGGCCGTCGGGAAGGCAGGATTGCAGGGGGAGTATAATGTTTCAAATTTGCCGACAAAGGGCGTGGTCATTGGGCGTTGGGCATTGGTGACTTTATTAGTCACACAATAACTCTATGTTCTGTGAACCATTCGTAGAAAGCGCCGACTAATTAGCAACAGAAATTGTCAAAATTTACCAATTTGCCGGAAAAATGCAGGTTTAAGGTTTCATTTGCCGCCAGATGCTTCTTTCAGGGGGGATGTCACACACACCCCCGTCGCGACGGCCCTGATGTTACATTATACTGTATCGAATGGTTCATTCAGCTACACTAAAAGATATTTGGATCATCATTAAGACAACGAACATCATTGCTAGTAATTATGCTTTCATGATTAATATTAATATAACAGCACTGGTGGTAATGATGGTAGTAATGGTAATGACACTAAGAATGGCACCTAATAATAATGATGATTATAACAGCAATAATAATGATATGTATAATGGTAATAATGATAAAGCTAATGGTAATATTACTAGTAATAATCATCATCATTAATAAATCAATGTGATGACAGCACTAAGAGAGCCCATTGAGGTTTCCTACTTAGAACGCGGGTCTCTACAAGTACTTCGGGAGTCCTTGCTCAGAAGTCAAATATCCCTTTGTTATTCGCTAATAAGAACATGATGGGCACTGGAACAAACCTTACCGCTGCCACAAGTTATCATCATCATCATCATTATTATTATTATTACCACCACCGCCATTATCATCATTTTAATCACTATCATTATTATAATTATAATAATGGCAATAATATTAATAATAATAATTATAACAATAATTGCAGTAATAATAATAATAATAATAATAACTGGGAATGAAGGGGAGTTGTTATAGATGGAGCAGGGGGAATGGAGTGTGTTGTGAGTGAGTGAGAGGAAGGGGTGTAAGGGGAATGTGAGGAGGTGGTGGTTGGATGTTGGTAGTCACTTCACGTGTAATGGGAGACTGAGAGGGTGGATGGGGGATAAGCATGTTTTTTGGGTGATTAGGAGTTCTTAATGTCCTCAAGAGGTTCTGTAACAGGGTTTATTAGGGAGGTCTGAGAAATGAAGCTTTTCTTATGAGGAATTGATCCCATGTAGTTAAGCTAAATAGTGTACTCAAAACATTTGTAGAAGTGGAAGGCGAAGGGTGAGGATGGGAGGAAAAGGGAGGGACGTTGAGTGAGGTGTTAAACAAGGTTTAATAGTAGTAATTGGTGATAATTGGGGGGAAAATGTTTTCTGAATGACCTGGGTGGGTGTCTTGGAATGGAATGAGCTAACAGCAGATATAACTAGATAATTATGTGAGAATACTATACCCATGGCTTCCTGAAACCATTTAGGACTGATCCACGGCCAGCCTTTTATCCCTTCAACACGACTCTCACATCTTAGGGAATGGAAGAGGGGGTTATAGAAGAGGAGGAGGAAGAAATGGGGAGAAGAAAAGATCCCCAACATTGAATCTCAGTCTGTCTGCTACGACCCACCATGACAGCAGGTATGATATTTGGGGGCACGATGGTGATAAAGAAACAATTTTTAATCAGTGGAGTTTATTGCTATTATCTAAAATAGTACATGTGTATTTACATGGCTACATAATCTTTTTAGCTATGGAACTTAAAATTAAACAAAAAAAAAGTTACTTACTAAATACAAACTAGCTGTGTAACCAATATTCAATATTCACAAGTATCAACAGGTCTACAAAAAGCTTGATGAGAAATGCATCTTAGGAAGACAGGAATCTAACCTGGGAAAGTTCTGGGAAGAAATACTTTTATTTTTGGAACACTGTTTTTCTTCTCTGAAAGGTCCAGATGTTACGTACTAAAGTTCAACCCAAGTATTTGGTGCATTATTTGTGATTAAATTCATTGATTAAATTCATTGGAATGTATTTTTCTTATTCTAATAGTCTCAAAATAAATTTAATATCAAACCGAAAATATGTTTTAGAGTAAAGGACTTGGTCTTTGAGATGCTTTACTCCTTTCTAATTTCTTCTTCAGATATGAAAATTAGCCACATACACTGCCATACTTCAAGAAATGTTTGTAAATTATTTTAAGTCTTTAAAATTGGAACATTAAGAACCTGCTTAACTTTTAGCAATGAAGTAATTGTTTGCAAAATTGTACAACTAATTTTTAGTCCTCATTACCTCTATATAACTGCCAAAAAAATTCTACCTGAAAAGATAATTAGTTACAGCTTACTGCTTTCGTAACTCAATTATACCAATTTTTATTTTCAATGTGGAAATTGATATTTCAAAATGATTCCCTAAAAAGGGTAATTCCTATTTGCAGAATGGAAATAGTGTTCACATATATGTACATCCATACATCTTTCATAACAAACATACAATCATATATGCAGTATCTCATTAACACATACACAGACACACAAGCACACGCACATATATACCTGTGCATACATGTACATATACCATGCAACACAAGCACGCACATTATCTCTCTCTCTCTTTCGTTCACCTGTGTACATAATACGCGTATGCACACATACAGAATGTACATATATATATATATACACACACACACACACATACACCATCCTACTTAAATACATACATACCTATTTCTAAATTCATGCACATCACAAGTTGAACACATTTCAGCACCTAAAATCTGAAACCCTGTGTGATTCTTTAATCAACATGTGGAAAACACTGAATTGAAACTTGGGGAAGGGGGAGGGAAATAAATGCAAAATCTTAACTGATGGGAAGGCAGGGGAAAAAAAAAGAGGAAAAAATAATAATAATAATAACCATGAGGAAGTGTATATTCTGTAATGAGCAATAACATAATGATTTTAAGAAAAACGCAAACATCTTCAAGGCCTGAGCTTATGGCATATATTTTTTTTACCGTCTGTTCGCAAAAAAGGGGGATATACAAGCTAATACTAAATGGGAATGAAAGATTAGCATACACATGGCATATTCCAACAACACAGTATGAGGGTAATTATGTACAGTGTGACTTGGCTGCAATATACATTGTGACCTATTAAGGGCTAAAATAAAGTGATCCCTTCTATTTCAGAGTAATTACAATGCACCTTAATGCTCAGTAAAAGACCCCTAAAACAACAAAAATAAATAAATGAAGAAAGGCATGATGAATAAATAAAATAAAATATAAAACTCATTACCTTAATAGTTCTACAGCTCAGGCAAATAATGATACATGAAGCTGCCTCAGTTTGAGCATGAAATTTTCCTCAATACTTTTACTTTAAAACAGACACGAGTTATCCTTATCTAATACTTAGTGATTATCTATCATTACTATTAGAGAGCAACAACTCTCTAAAAAGCATTTTTGTTCATATGAAGCATATTTCTTTTTTTATGCTCACAATCATAAAACCAAAGAAAATTAAATGTCAAAAATACCAACACAGTAAATACACAATTCTGACATTTGATAATAATAAAAAAAAACATAAAAATAGATACATCACTAAAATCAACATTTTAGCGTGTAATACTGTAAAACTATGTGTATAGAACCCTCCCTTACAAAAAAATAATTTCCTCTGAGCATTTTTTCAACTGTCTATAAACAACATATATCTTCCACTCCAAATATTAGCGATGTGCACACAACATACAACATTCAAGGCATCAGTATGGACGGGATGACTGAATATGCGGACATTCACTGGAGACAAAGCATTGGGGACGGAAGCAAGGTTACAGAGGACGGCACACCACACTAATGTTCATTGTACACGTATTATACACTCTACATTTATGTTACAGGTACATTATACACTTGCAATTACTAGTCTCTATAAACATCTTTTAACATTCAAAGTTTACATGTTTACATGTAAGAAATAACAAAGCACATAAATTTGCAAGTCACATTATCAACTTTTTAGTGACCTCTGGGCCGAGTTCTGGTTCAGGAGTGAATCAGCTGCTCGTAACAGTGGTTCTTACAACCGTCTCCAGCTTTGCCATGGCAGGCACACTCCTAAGGCACGAAAATCAATTTTGAGTGGTTCCTTAACATACTCGAGAAATATTAAAAGTAAATTATGGAGTCATTTCAAATCTTCTGTATCTGCATTAAAAGATAGTGATAATCATAATAAATAAAAAAGTAACAATATAAAATTACATTTGACAACAAACAATAGTCCAATGAGAAAGATTATCAACAGCTTGTGGGAACAGCAAAGAGGTCTTAATTCATGCCTGAAGTTACTGTTCATGGCTCAGTAATTCACTAATGATATCACAAACAATGCAATCAGATACATTATTAGTGAAAATGAATGGTTCCATTAGAGTTTGAAAGTCTGTCTACTTTACATCCTTAAAATATGGTGAATTAGAAAGAAATACTTTGTAAAATTACATGTGAGTAATAATGCTGTCTTTTACGGCAATGAATCTGTACATAAGTTACAAATTAACTACTGAAGAAGGGCCATTTATGACATGACTTTAGGACTCTCTTACTGCCCCTCAAAGCTGTTTCTGGTCAACATTATATTAAAACAGCAGTAATTACACTGCCTATGTGATGGAATGAGCTGTACAAGTATTAAATGCTAGTTACAAATGATAAAATCAACAAGGCATGTACAGATATATTTACAAAAATGAAACGAAAAAATAATGGCAAGAATTTCTTACACTGTCAGATACAATGTCATTCAAAATTACAATCTATCTACATGCTCCCTGTTACTGCTTCAAAAAACTTAAACTGAAGCACGAGACAGAGAAAAAACAAGTCATATGTACTGGAATGGTCTCTTTCAGCCCAGATTATTTCAACTAGCTCAATCAGGGCACTTTAGTTTTTTATCATTGGAACTCATAGCTGCCCAGCATATACATGTGTGTGGGCCTGAAAGGGGCTTATATGGCAGATCATACGTACAACTACAAAACTTAACTAGTGGTGAGCAACATTCCTTTGCTTATAAGTATGCCCACCACATCTGTCTACATTCAGCAATTACTAAAAGCCTCTTTGGTGATATGAAATATTCGTATTTATAAAGTAAATATATATCTATACAAAAATACAGCTTGGTTACAAATCCCTTAGGAACAATGAGTAGGGCTGGAATACATAGTTTTCTGAAGATGCTTTTTACTCCACATGTAATATGTGTACACTGTTAAGCTGCCAATGTAGACACACCTTACATACAGCTGCTAGTGCTAAGTCACCATTTCATGTAATATTTCATGAAGTGTAAAAAAAAGGCATAGCACACTGCTCGATTCCTAAAATATATAAAGCAGTACTTAACGTGTCTTAACAAAATTTCCTTGAGTTACATCTGCCAGCTGCACCTGTCACATTCCAGATAATCACAGTGCAGTTTCAACATTTTTACGACGTTCGATAATTACGACGTGGATTTCCTATTTTTAAGCATATAAGGCAGTTTTAAGCATCCAGAATTACCAAGTAAGTTCTTGCTAAGGCACATACCTATCAAATCAATTATTACCATCTTCAAATGCATAAGAATTAAGAGCTCAACAGGGAGAATGTCTGAACGACCTCATCAGTGGCACAAGGAGGGAGGGAGGACCAGCCTGACGAAGGAATGGGTGTTGGAGGAGCTCAAATGCAGTGGCTCTCTGACCAGGATCACGAACCAGCATCTTTTCCAGGAATCCTTGTAACCGTGGTGATATCTAAGGGTAGTTAAGATTATTGTATCATTATAGACTTCCTAAAATAATAAAGTATGTCAATATTAAACCATATACTGACATATTCACTACTTATCTCAAGATAAACAAGTTCACTTTGGGATACTTTCACATTTGAAGTGTTAACATATCTGAGTAACAAAATAATACGAAGTGAAAATAAAGATTTGAGTGAGAAAATCTTCAAAACAATATCCATAATGAAAATGACGGTCAGGCCATGAATAAAAATGGTAGAAAATCAAACAGATGAATCAAGAACACTGGCTCCACAAACCTTATGAGAGTTCTTTAGTTTGGGTGGCGGCATGTCCCTTATACGTCTCATTGCTTGCAAGGGGGGTTCGTTGAAGAATGGAGGCTCACCATCGACCATCTCAATCACCATGATGCCAAGGGACCAAATGTCTACTTCTGGGCCATAGGGTAGCCGTGATATAACCTCTGGTGCCATCCAATATGGCGTGCCCACTAAAGACTTACGCTTTGGCAGCTCCTGGGACACTTGAGCACAGAAGCCAAAGTCTGAGAGTTTCACCTGCAATCACAAATGTGTATAAGAATCGAGGGTATTTAAATAGTAGTGTACATATGCAATTTAAAACCTCCTTTCCAAGGACTGATTTCCTTCTCACTAATTAATATAAGACTAAATGCCTCTTGACACAATTTGACTTCGTTCTCTCTACAAATACAAAGATTCTAGAAAACACTGGAGATCAAAGACAAAAGAAATAACACTACTATTCACAAATATGATGATATTTTGTCTCAAAAAGTTTGTCCAAATTATCCTTTACATCTATTAATTATAAATGAAATGTTTAAATATAATATCTCAATACTTCTTTGTTACATTTATAATCCCCTTGGGATATAGTATTGTACACTGAGAATACAAACTGCACTGCAGGCCATTTTCTGTATGTCAGGATTGTGAAGCAAATTTATAAGACAAATATATATCCTATACAAGTCCATATTCAATGGGGCAGAACTGTGAGTATATATATATATATTCATATAGCGAGTACAACAGGATACTCAAGATATTTAAAGCTATGGTGTAGAATTTTTACATACTATCAGTTCTATTTTCAGTCATTACCTTTAATACTTATAATCATCAGGTTCTTATTTGTCATTATATCTTTTTCCTGAAAATGAACTGATATATTAAATGCTTGGCTACTCACCCTGCCATCACTTGCAAGCAAAATAGAGTCACTCTTTATGTCACGGTGGATGACTCCTTGTGAATGGAGGTAGGCCAATGCTTTCAGGCACTGTCTGCAAACCTGAAAAAAAGCAAGAAAAGATAAATTAGTAGTTACATACACTTTTCCAACAAACTACATATACTGAAACCACTTATCATTAAAAATAGGTGAGACAGGAATGGAAAGGCAGCAGAAATATTACCGTTGCAATTTGTTCCTCATCCATTCTCGCATGAGTGACTATGTCTGTAAGTGCTCCCCCTTCAAGGAACTCCATCACCACCCAGAGTTCATCCTCCACCAAGAAGGAATCATACATTTCGACAATGTTTGGGTGGTGGTAGTCCCTCATGATGACCACCTCATTGAAGAGCAGTTCACGACGCTGTTGCTTCCGCAGATCCATCTTTTTCACTGCAACCTATGAATAATAATAAGACTGTCAATCATAGGCTTATAAATTTTTTCTATAATCTACACACTGTAATGAAGAATTGATTTCCCAAAGACAAAACTTATCATGGTTATCCTACACACATACCTGATTGCCAGTTTCTCTCTCACTGGCTATGCAAACAATGCCTGTTGATCCTTCACCAATCTTAATGAAATTATCCAAGTTGTATCTGGGATCTCCTGGGCTCACAACCATCTGAAGAGCTGCTCGGAACTAGGGGAAAAAAAGAAAGAAAGAAAAAGTTAATCTCTCTCTCTAATTATTAATATTTGCAGTACAAGAAATGTAATCACAAAAACATATATCATAATAATTATCAGTGTAAAATCATCTTACCTGCTCATGTGATAATCTCTGCTGATCATGTGGTTTGTTTGACTGGTGATGCTGAACAGAGTTCCCTTGGCTGGAGAATCCTGGCGGAGACTTCCCAGGTTGAGTGGTTGTATTGTTGTTGACTTGGGCACTACCACTTCCTGCACTACCTCCTTCCTTGCCATCGCCGCTGGCTTTGCGATCTCGTAATTTTACCTGAGGCGGAGCTTGCGTGGTTGATTGAGGGTCAAACCGGTTTCCATTGTGATCTTGTTGTACATTGGGGGATCCCTTGTTGGGGGGAGAAATCTGTTCTGGTGCTGGAGCTGGTGGCTGTGTGGTGGGTCAGAACAAGATTTTGTTACATGAAAGAAAACAGTGTCTCCTCTGAAGCATGCAAACCAAGAATATCACACACTAATTCATACTTGGTAAACGAGACATTTCTTCTGTTCATAGACAAAGGTCAAGCTATGGATTATCTAGCAAAATAAAATATAGTAGCTACCTTTTATAAAGCAAAATTGGAATTTAACAAACATTACCACTGAAGTCAAGTTAATGGATTAAAGACCGTTCTAAACCAATAAATTCAACTGCTTTTGAAATTTACAAAATCTCCTTTTAGTTAAAGACAAAAGAGAAAAAAGAAAAAGAATGAAATAAAACATTACCTTTGCATACATCTGGCCATGAGGTGGGACCTGGTGTGGCTGCTGTGGCAACTTTTGTACCCCATGTGGTGGAGGTGGTGGGGGTAATTGCTGCTGTTGATGCTGCTCATGTTGCTGCTGTGGTGGATGCTGCTGTTGATGCTGTTGCTGTTGCTGCTGCTGTTGCTGCTGTTGATGCTGGGACTGTTGCTGCTGCTGCTGAAGATGTAGCTGATGAAGGTGGCTCTGAGAGCTGTGGTGAGGAGGAGCACCATGAGGAGACTGGTGAGGGGGAGGCAGCGGCTGAGGTCCCCGGTGGTACGGCCGCTGTGCAGGTGGAGACTGGTGGGGATGCTGGCCTGGGTGGTGGTTGGGCTGGTGGGGGTGCTGGTTGGGGTGTGGGTAGGGGCCTGAGTGGGGGTGGTGGGGAGGGTGTTGGCCAGGGTGAGCATGGGGGGGATAGTGGGGTCCGTTTGGATGACCAGGTGGGCCTCCTGCCTCTGGTGGTAGCTGCGCAGGGGGACGTCCACCCTGAAATTTTGATAATGAATACATAAGAAATATAGCAAATGGAAATAATTCTTGGAATTAAAAGTATGGTACATCTACACAAAAATATTTCAGAGTGACACCAAAACAATGCAAGGAAAGCACCTAAGACCAAGGACTATCAAATACAGTCATCTGCCCTATCCCATAGCTATTAAGTATTAAGCTAACAAATATTGCTGGTACTGTGTTCATAGAAATGTTAACCCCTTGGTGCCGGGTCATGCCGATTGGCGTGCAAACAAAACGCTTGAAAGCTGGTGTGCAGCCAAACGAGCCGGCAGCACGCCAAAGCGCGGCGAGCCAGTGATTCGGGCTGATGTCCCCTACTCACACGCTCAAAGTCGGTGCGCCACCTTTGTTTGCCTAAGCGTAGAGTTTTTTTGTTTTGTTTTTTTTGTACACCCGGCGCCATTGGGTTAAGGAGTTTGATAGGGATACTCAAATCTCATTACATATGTAAATATAAATTTTGTTAAAAAAAAAAAAAAATAAAAAAAAATAAAAAAAAAATAATAATAATAATAATAATATTAATAATAATAATATATTATATATATATATATATATATATATATATATATATATAATAATAATAATAATAATATATTATATATATATATATATATATATATATAATATATTATTATTATTATTATATATATATATATATATATATATATATATATATATATATATATATATATATATATATATATATATATATATATATATTATATATATATATATATATATATATATATATATATATATATATATAATAATAATAATAATATATTATATATATATATATATATATATATATATATATATATATATATATATATATATATATATATATATATATATATATATATGTATATATGTATATATATATATATATATATATATATATATATATATATATATATATATATATATATATATATATATATATATATATATATATATAATACTAATAATAATTCTGTAAACAAATCAATTGAAACAATGCATAGGATTATGTCAGGAAGACATACAAGTACAAAATATATATAATCAACATAATGGTCAAGAAATAAAATACAGTGAATAGCAAAAGTCCTCTCTTGGTTTAAACTTTATGTTTTGGAAAACTGCAAATTTCCACAAATCTCCCCTGAAACTTAGCAAATTAAAGACCTACGTAACAAAAAACTTTTTATCTCACCTGAGGATGAGGTGGGTGTCCATTATGAAGACTCTGGTGATGGGGAGGAGGGGGAGTTGGCCCATGCTGGCCACTACTGCCAGCTGAGCCAGCAGAAGAGGGGCCTGAGGGTGTTCTGATACCCATGTCGGGGCGTCCCATACCCCACCCTTCCCTGCGCATGTCTGGATGGTGTGGAGCTCTTGGATCACGGGGATCCCATCTCTCCTCCCCATTGACAGGGTGGCCATGTGGGCCATGAGGTGGCCCATGAGGTGGGCCACCATGAGGGGGACCATGCTGACCTGAGTGGGGAGGACCATGGCCCTGCTGTGGGCGCAGGTGGGGAGGATAGCCAGGTGAGCCCTTGGGGGGCTGCGTAGGGCTGATGGGGTGGTGAGAGAGGTGACCTGGGGGCCCTTGTGGGTGACCTGGATGACCTTGTGGGTGGCCCGGTGGGTGACCTTGGTAATGCCCTGGATGGTTTGGATGAGGCATATGCTGGCCCTGTGGGTGCTGGGGATGTCCTGGGTATTGGGCATGAGGGGGCCAGTTGTGGGGAGGTCCATCCAGAACCTCCCCCTCGTGTAGAGTCGGGGGGAGATTGTAGCCGCCCCACTGCTCTGGCCGCCGTAGTCTTGGGGGACTGGAGGATCGGAGGGAGTTGGACCGTGCGACACTCGAGGTCTTGGGGAGGTTCGATGAGCTACTGCTGCTGTTATTATTGTTGTTGTTACTGTTGTTGCTATTGCCTCGATCTCCTCTCATGGTGGTCTGCTTTGAAGACAAAACAAATTAGGACTTTTAGCATTCTCATTTTTAAATTCAGAATAAAGATTTTTTTTTTGAGGGGAAAAATTGAAAGACAGTAAATCCATGAAAAGAATGCAGCAATCACATTGTCATTAATTTTGCTGACTAACTGACCTGAAACTACTTAATCTAGCTTTATCATAATATTCTCACACATAAAAAGTGTGGTGTATCTATGAGTATTTCTTTGACACCAGGCATAGACAAGAATCTGATCAAATCTGACAATATATGCACCTAAAAAATTCATTGACATCATAGCTGACAAAATTTTTAAATTCTCTTGCAGTCAAACTAATATTATTAAATGAAATGGAAATCTAGTATTACTCTGGTGTGCTTGTGTACCATTACTTAACCCATTGCCGCCGGGGAAAATGAACAAAAAATGGGGGAAATGCAGTACTCATTTTTTATATTTTTGTGAAATATCTCTGTCCATAGATGGCTCTGCTAGTCCTGATTTCACCTTTCCTTGAATTGGCGGGAAAAAACGTATTTTTAATAGTGCTATAAATATGGATGGTGTTATTTTTAACAGTAAATTAGGATAACGTTAAATACTTTCGTAAATCAATGAAACGGGTGAAGCGGGCGAGACAGGCAGTACTGTAATTGGCTCATTGGATACTTAGTATAAGTGTAGCCATCTATGTGTAAAAACAATCGAACAAGTCGACTCACAGTGGGTATCCATCCCCGGCGGCAATGGGTTAAACTTATCACATTTATGTGACCCTACTAACCATTTGTCTAAAGCAAGGTAAAGCTGGTTACCCTATTACTTTATAGCAGAATGTGGGATTACTTACATTAAAATGCAAACAAAAAACAAAGGAAAGTTTGTGACACAATAATACTGAAGGCCATCTTGCTGCATTGCTTCCTCAGGGAAATAACAGCATTCAGCATAGTGTATTTAACAGCTCTTCCCTATGTTGTAGAGTCACTTAAAATAACCCAGCCCACAGCATCACAGTTTTGTAAAAAAAAAAAAAAAAAAAAAAAAAGGCCTAGTCCTCTGAATTCCACGACTTACCTGTGGATTTTTACTCGGATCAGCCAGGTTAAGAGTAGCAAAACCACGACTTAATCTGCTTGAAGAGTCATGCCCTCTCGAGGTGTCTGGTGGCCCCTGCGAACCAAGAGAGAAAAACTAATATAATGATCCATGTCTAATGGAAGTGGATTGCATAAGTACAACAGTTATATACTTACACTACTACACTAGAGCAAATAAGAACTCTAAAGTCTTAGAGAAGAGAAAAGGGAACCAAGAAAACAAACTGGCAGTTAAAAATAGCACAAAGAGAAAATGAAGAGGAAAAGAAGCAAACACAAGAGGAAGGTAGTTGTAATAAAAAGAATGAGTGAAAGAAGAAGAAGAAGAGGTAGTAGAAAAGGGTATTAATGTTATTACCCACCTTCATGTCGAGCATATCCATGGGGGTGATCTGCGATGGATCAACCAGTGGCATTGGTCTCCCCTTATCGAGTGCATTTGATACAATTCCTTGCCACTGAGGAGGCAGCCCAACATATCTGTCAAATAATTGCATATTGTTTAAATCAAACTTCAACTGAACTGGGGGGGGGGGGGGGATCACTACTGTTTCAGTATTATCATACATAACAAAAAGTGGGAATGAAATCATGGGTATATAGTATGTGCTTAATTATGTGTAAATGGCATCAATAAGCATAAAGAAAATGCAAATAATGGAAAAGGATGAGACAAAACTATCAACTTAATAAAAAATTTAAATGTTAATTTAATTTAGGCATTTGCATCAAGTAAACACATTCATAAAGTTTCCTTTCTATATCAAATTTCTGCAAAAACAAGAAAAAAAAAAGTATAATACTTACTTTTGTTCATGGTGATCAAAGCCTGTGTGGACGCGGTGCTCGAAGTTACTTGGCGCAGATATCTGCACTTTTTTACTCTTTTTCTTGAACATTCTGCCCCGCGTCTCTTCAC